GTTTATTGTTATTATCAATGACAGGGGATTAATCTACGTTCTTTTAGCTTCAAACTGAATGCTTGATCAAGACGTAACTTGTCCATAGAACGTTGGAAGAGCTATTTAAAGTGAACTAAACGGGGTACACATCACGGAGCCCCCGGTGGAGGCGCTATAGACCCTGCACGGAGGCCCCGGTGGAGGGCCATTGATCATGTGGGGTGAGTGCGTGGGGTCGCGGAGCCCCCGGTAGCGGCGCCATAGACCCCGCGCGGTGAGAGTGTGGGGTCACGGAGGCCCCGTTGGAGGCGCCATTGATCACGTGGTGTGAGCGCGCGGGGTCGCGGAGCCCCCGGTCACGCCAAGAGACCTTGTGTGTGTGACATGAACTGTGTATATTTATAAGTATGTTTATAATATTTCTTTAGATTCAGTAGAAGTACACTTGGATGATATTCAGGCTTATGAAATATTATACTTTACCCGTCGCAAATAACTCCTTCTCTGACTTGCAAATCTTCCGTGGGTATATATGTGAAAAGCATTGATAGAAGATTATTTTTGAGCCATTAATTTTGAGAAAACATTGGCCAAACTTTTGAACAATCTCCTGCAATTACCAATGAGCGCTATTCTTTGATTAATAGAATCGTTGGCAAAGGGGCAGCATGCTGGACTACCACTTTTTTGATCAGAGTTCAAGTAATAAGTATCCGTGGATCAGGGTAAATTCAAAAATCATTTTAATCACGAATGTAACTGCTATTTTTAGCAATTAATCGGAATATTTTTGATAAAATTACTATAGTATAAATCCCTTTATGTTTAGATTTATTCATTTCTTCAGAAACTTGTCAAAATGTGGAACCAATAGCACACAGGAACAGCTGGAAACGTGTCTTTCTCATTGGGAGAAAGTATTCCAATGCACTGAAAGCCTCCTATGCTTCTCCGTATATTCAAGAATACGGGTCACTGAACCTAAAAGCCTTAATATGTAAATATCGATTAACAACAATTTTAACTTCGATGAGACACCCGAAGAATCTAGCGAATAAATAATCGGAGAAAGAATGAAATCTTACGTTATCTAATCGCGATTACATCAGGTTTGAGGGGCTCGTTTCGAATCAGAATTTTTTTTCATTTTATATGAAACGATTCCCCGTCAAAAGGCAGTACTTCACGTGCGGATGATCGAAGACTACTCATCTCGACAGATGTGCCGTGAGCACTGCTTCTGAGCCGTTTCTGTTCCCTTTTCACAAATTTCTTGTCGCGTAACGAAACAGAAAACAGAGAAAATTGGTCTGTTCGTGGCTGCGGAAAATAGTGCCCCGGATCATCGTGGTGGCGAGAGTCTTGTTTTCGGATACGTTCATCCTCGGACAGGTGAGCGATCCATTCTGCACGTTCTTTTTCTCTCTGTTATCTGTCACGATCATTTTTGGCGAACAATTGTTTCCCATTCAACAGCTCCTAACGTTTCCTATTCGAAATGTATCCAATGATAACGTTAATGGTAACGTGATCTAATCTTTGGATCGTGGGATACCGATTTTATAGGTTGGGTACGTCTTTGAGTAATGTCGGTTGAAGAGAAAGTACATAATAATAATACGTTAAAGAGAAAGGAACAGGGACTATGCAGGTGAATGAAGATCTGTCGAATAGATCCAATCACTTTCGAGCTAATTTTTTGTTAACATTTGGAATAATAGAGCACATTATGTTTACGATTGCTCCATGTTCAAAACGAATTTATTTGATTTGAAATCGTTTATTTACAAATCTCGTTTGTAAATACTTGTACATTTATTACATAAACAACGACAGAAAATATGTCTACATCCTTGCAGAATGAGAAGGACAAATATTGTTGAAAATCTTACAGATACTTTATACACAGTACATTATTGTATCATACCTGTATAATAATAAATAAAATATATATATGTATATGTGTGTACATCCTTTTTTTCTTATTCTGTCTATTGAAATTTCCTTGTTACAGTTATTAACATCCATCAAACAATGATAAGATTATGAGATTAAATAATATTTCACTTATTTTTGTATTGAAATGGGTTTAATCATTAATAGGAATTGTCATATACATTAAGAATACAATACTAAAAAGTATGTATTTTTAAATGGAATTTCTTTAATAATGTTCGATAGAGTAATAATATAATGCTTTTTCAGAATGGCTCGTGGACAGCAGAGGATTCAGTCACAAGCTAAAGCGGCGGAAAAAGCTGCAAAAGTAAAAAAGCAACAAGGCCACAGTGCCAATGATCAGAAAAAAGCAGCACAGAAAGCTCTAGTACATGTATGCACAGTTTGTAAGGTGGGCCTGCTAATTAGAGTTAAGATGTTTTATTGTTTAATGTTTCTTAGTTTATCAACCTATTTTTAATGCTGAATGTATTTGCAGGCACAAATGCCAGACCCAAAGACCTACAAGCAACACTTTGAGAACAAGCATCCTAAGAATGAATTGCCAGAAGACTTAAAAAATATATGAGGGTAGGATCTTTTGTAACAGTGGAGATCAGAGAATGGAGGATGAAAGAAACTACTGCAAATAAGAAAAGTGATATAGTTTGATATTTAACTGGTCATTACATAGTATCAAATAAGAAAATAAATTAAACCTTGTTAGTGTTTCAAATGAACTATTGCACATTTAAGAAATGAATTCTCGTGCACAGCCCCAAATTACTATAACACTATTAAAGACTCGTTCACAGAACATAAGTTTCATTATCTTCCAAAAGTGTCCAGTACGACTGCTAAGTTCTCACTTAAGCATAAAAGTAATTGAACATGTACATTGCTAAGAAATAAAGTTAATCAATTTAGCAGAATGATTCCAAATATATATGTATATGTATATGAAGAGTTACCTCATTTTTCTGTAACTAAGACAAGATCTTGATGCAAATGTTACATAAACAAAAAAAAAAAAAGAAAAAACATGCTTTGAGTATTCAAATATTTTAATCACAATGATTTCAATTATAAAACTGTTTCTATAGACTGGTTCTTTTTTTATTAAAATATTCATAAAATCTAATTTATTCAAATTCTGTAATCTTCAAGCATCAAACAATTGTGAATAGTACTAAACAAAATAATTTATAAGGAACAAGAAACTGCCATTCTATTATATCTGTCAATTATTGTATTAAATAAGGATGTGACTAAAATATTGTATTGCACAACTGTAGCTATAAGCATTTTTGAACATTGGTTATTCTTGTTCCTGAACCTTATTTCTATAAAATTATTCATTGTTTGTAGCCAAGCATAGAACATAATAAAAGTTTAATAGGTACTAGTCTTTTGTACGGTTGAAACTGACATTTAATACTTAAATACTTTTACTCTTTTGTACAAATTCATTGAGTTCTTTCTTTCATCTGTATAGATTTATATGACAGAACATACCATGCTGCATTGTACATTTGCTTCTATGCACCAAAAGAAAACTATGGTAATACACTGCACAATACAATACATTAGCATTTAGTGTTCAGAGCTGATAAGGTTTATAGGAATTTCTAGAATGTATCTGGTTTAGATATAAGTTCGTGAATTATGTAATTTGTTCTGACAAAATAATTACAGAATTTTACACCACAACGTGTAATTATATTGTTTCCAGCCAAAATAACGCAGTGGCTCAGTTTTACAATTTATCCTCCCGTCATTGTCGAGCAATTCTATGTTAATCACATTGAACTGTTTCCTCTGGAATCACGGGTAGAATATTTGGCAAACGAGTCTTTGTGTTCTATTTAGAAACGTTGTTGTGTTTTCGCCAAAGAATTTCCTGTGTGGATCGTAATCATATTTCGGCATTCAGACGTTGGGTACAAACAGAAATTTGATATACCGATAACGATACCATGAGGTTCCTTTTCGTTCCCACTGTAGCCATACGGTTACGTCAGGTTACGTTTTATCAATTACGAAGTACAATGTTACTACCGTGCAATTTTTCATATCTGTGCGTATATGACAATAGTTTCTTCTAGTTTTATATATTTAAATGTCATAACACAAAGTTTGATGTGCATTTAAAAGCGTATCGGTAAAATAAGATATCGACATATATTGCCTTGCGTTTCTTTTATTTGCTGAAATTCAAGTGTAGAGCATCGTTAGCAATACAATAAAACCTTCTAAAGCCTTAATTTCTTTCAAATATTTCAAGTGGATTTACCGATTAAAGGTAAGAAGAAAAACATCATTTATATGTCACGTAATATAGACAAAAATGGTTTTGCCGCGTCATGATTGTTTGTCAACTATTTCAACCCGAACGAATGTTACATCATCTATCGTGCGGCAGAAGATCTTATATACGTACGGGTTTCTAGCCGTCCTGTATCAGTGTCGATTTGCTACATCACGTGGATGAGTTCGTAGAACCACGTTCTTCGTCTGACTGCCGTGATCTCGATCTCTTAACATTTTCGAGCTAAATAATAAAGTCATATTTCTTACTATTTTGTGAAGTTCAACAACCGATCATATACTTTAAATTTCGTTCCCTTCGAATCGTTCGATCAGCTGAAGGCCAACCGTTGACTTTGAAAGGTACAACATACATGGTGATTTTGTAAACTCTATAAAATAATTGATATTTCCATTTTTGTTCTTTTACGATTAGTTGGAACAATTACATAGCTTCTAATATTATCGGCAAAATTGATCGAAGAGACTAGTGGTAAAATCTCTCTTTAGTACGAAACATTATCAATGTACAATATTGTTACATAGTGAACCTGGTGTAATATTTTCAATGCACTTTCAAACTTACCGAGAGTAATTCGTATATTTCTCCTAAATTCATCGAAATTTCGTCAAATCTGGTATCGTAATCTAATTGCAAACACTTGCGAATCACAACGAATAGGAGATAAGACGATAGATGAAAATATATCTATTAATCCCCGTCACGTTATTGATGGGCACGTTTTAATAGGATCGACGAGCAATACTGTATTCAATAGTGTCGTTGTAAGTTCGTAAATTCGGGGCGAATTTTTAACCTCGGAAGACGACAGGTATTGGATATAATATATAATATATTGTACGTCATTTATCTTAACGACGCGCGTAAACATCAAGAATTTCGATACTCGTCTGTTTCTCGGAACGATTAACAGGGTGTTTATCGAAACTCGCCGTTGTATACGTTCATTGTTCGGTATTTTATAACCATAGCTGATAGAAGACAGTTGTTTACGTGGAGTGATTCGACCTGGAAGGGGCTCGCGATATCGGGGAACCGTATACTGTTTCGAGATTTCAAGATCACCATTATCGTTTCCTGTCCTTATACACGAACGGTCTGTCATTCCCGTGGCACCTTTTGTCGCGAATATAACTGACGAGTGAGCTTGCACGAACGTTGCGTCGAGAGGACATTTTTAAAAGGTATATACGTAAGGAGACTGATCACCGACTCGAACAATGTCCGTTTCAGTATCGCCTCAATCGGCAGTAGAAGACATGATGGACTCGGTGTTCCGTACACGATCTCTCGGCACTGCGGCGGAAGGTGTCCGTGACCAATACGCGGATGGAAGGGCGGCCAAAGTCTGGGAAGTGTTCATCGGCGACAAGAAGCAGAGGACACAAAATTATCGGGACTTCCTGGTCGGTCTGCTTCAGGCAAAAGGCTGCCGTCGTATCCTGGACGTTGCTTGCGGCACAGGTGTCGACTCGGTTATGCTGCTCGAGGAGGGCTTCGAGGTTGTCAGCGTCGACGCTTCGGACAAGATGCTCAAGTACGCTTTGAAGGCTAGATGGGATCGACGGAAGGAACCGGCCTTCGATAATTGGGGTAAATATGTATATATTTATTCGTAGGTTCTCTATACCTCATTAAGGTGTTAAGACGAGGAAACAAGATCGAATGAAATGGCAATATTATTCAAGGATATGTCAGTTCAATATTGAGACTAATTGGGAAAGATTAGGGATGATCTTGAGAGTGGTTCCATGACTTTATCACGATGTTTCTCTATTAACTTTCATCATTTCTGCGTTTCTTATTTCGGAACTGACGCGCTATACTCTTCGACGTTTTTTAATACAGTGTGACAGTTTTACGCCGAAGCCGTTGTGCAATTACGGGGCAGATAAACGCGTGGACGGACGGTTTTTATATTTTTTGTTCGTTCTTTCATTTGCCGTAATAGTCGTTATCGCTTATCGCAGCAACGAAACAACATTTCCCGGCCATTTTACTCGTATTGCTGGAAATTTCTTTCCTCGAAGAAATATTAATAACTTCTACCGAGGTAAACACGATATGCAACGTTCAATCGCGTGCTTGGAGATGTAAATAATGTATAAAAAAAATTACAATCGTACGAAAAATTATACCGAAACAGAACACGAGCAATCGAATATTTGTTTAAAAAAAAAAAAATAAACACGTGCCTAATAATGATGTGGACATGGTGCGGGACTTCGGACGGTGGTTTTGCAATAATCCTTGCGTCACGACTCACGGTGTGTTTGATTTTTTTCTTTTTTTTTTTTAGAAATCGAAGAGGCGAATTGGCTAACTTTGCCGAAGGATATCGCTCATTTAAAAGGAGAGGGCTTCGACGCGGTGATTTGCTTGGGGAACAGTTTCGCCCACATGCCGGACACGTTCGGCGATCAGCGAGAACAGAGGTAAGATAGATCCTCGATCACCTGTCTGTACATTTCAACAAAATTATACTGTTATCCCGTCTGTAATGTTTTTCACGATCAATTTGCAGGCAAGCGTTGCTGAATTTCGAACGTTGCGTGAAACCCGGCGGCTTGCTATTAATCGATCACAGAAATTACGATTACATAATCGATACCGGGAATATACCACCGAAATGCATATACTATAACGTAAGCATCTGATCGGTAGCTCATTCTTTAAATTCGTACACCTGTGCAAATAATAGCAACCGTGTGTGCGCGGCAGCTTCCATGAAAATTCAGAAGACCTGCTCTATTATGCGATTGACATACAATTTACGACAAGATCGGTTAATTCTGTTTTTGTATCGATACGTGAATTAGATATAGTGTCCTGTGACACGGACCGAAAACCATTGTGTTAGACACTAAACTGAAATGACGGGGAGTAGTTTGGATGGTTGCTATTATATCGGTTGAGTTTACAAATAAATTTTTTAGTTACAATACAATTTTTCGTACCTTCAAAGAAATCGAACCTCACACTTGATTCTCTGTGTCCACAGAGCCAACACATGACGGATATCAAAACTTCCGTTTTGTTCGTTTCCGGGAAGCCAGCCATTGTCACCTTGGACTACATGATTACCTTGGACGATGCCGAGGACGAAGGCCACGACTGCGTCAGCGAGTTCCGGCTTTCCTATTACCCCCACAGATTAAACGTCTTCAGGGATATGCTGGACGAGGCGTTCCACTATAGGGCGAAACACACCATCTATGGCGACTTTAAGTCTCTGGAGAAGGTGAAACATCCGGGATTCTACATACACGTGATGGAGAAAACAGTCTGATGGACACACGTTGGGATTCAACACGATGCCTTTTTTAAATTTCTTCTATATATTGTCTGGAACGATTCGTTTAGGGACCGAGCTCGCTTGTTTCTGTCGCTTTGTAAAAGACGAAATGAGAGGTTGAAAGCGAACTGTACGGTCGCAAACGGAGTCCGTGACTCCCGTTTCTAAACGATCATTTACCTCGTGTTCCACTCTGTAAGTTCGTTTGTCCGTTTCTCGTAGGGTTCGCTTACGATAAGTTCCAGTGATTCGTGCTGCCACCGGAACAATGTCTCAATTTTATTCTTACGACGAAGATCAGGATCGATATATCGTTTTTCGGTGACAACACGAATCATTACGAGACATTACACCTCGTTTTTGTACGTTTATTTATATGCAGCAATGCAGAGCTAATTTTCTCAGGAGGTCGTAATTTTTTTTTTTTTTTTTCAAGACTAGAACTGACTTTGAAATCTAGTTTACCGTTCCGAGATGACCTTTTTATCGAATCTTTCATCCATTTGTGTGTGTTGCTTTGTTTTTATATCGTGTAAGACGTATCTAATTTTTTTGGTTATTCGATTCGTGGTTATACCTTGTTTTTATACGGTAAGACATACTTTGTAAGCTCGAGGGCACTCGAGCGGTGTAAATAAAGGAAAAAAAGAAAGAACGATTAGTACAATTCATTGGGGATAACGCTGATTCAATGCTATGGGGATAACGCTGATAAAAACTTCGGCGTAAAGTTTTTAATCGTTTTTTTATTATAAGTTCGAAAGCAGCTTTCTTTTGAGTATTCTAGCCAGGCTTCGTTCGATGCTACAATTTGATCTCTCGACGATGCAATCTCGAGCGGTCGTTGACGATCCCCCCCCCCCCCCCCCCCCCGATCGTTCTTATAAGCCGTGTTTCGATCGTCGTTGCTCTTCTAACCGATTCGAGGGTAAAAACAAACGGGAAGACAGACTGGCGAACGTAAGAACAAAACCGCGAGCAAAAAAAGAATAAAAAATTTCTTCAAATCTAAAAACGCTTAAGTCCTAAAGTTGTATGTATGTGTATGTGTGTGTGTTTGTATACTCGATCGAACAAAACACTCGCTACGACATTGGTGTGTCCGTACCTCGGCTTCCGTGCGATCAGAAACTTGACAATAACTAACGATCATTCGATATCTTCGATAAAAAAAATGTAATAGGTTTCCAGGTGAACAGATCTACCGATCGATTTGCAATCTGTAACGGAAATTCGAGCTCTATGATTTCAATTTTAAATCGTACAGAATTCAACACTCCGATCGGATGATTCCATTGAAAACGATCTTCAAAGAGTTCTCGGAGGCCGAAGCATGGACACTCGACAAGGTTTCTATAGGGCACTACACGATATCCGCTGGTTCCTACCGGGCTATTAATCCATGGATCGTCACAAGTGTCCCGAACGAATCGTCGACGATCGCTCCGACCGAAAACAACAACAGCAAAACAACAACAAGTCAACAACAACAACAACAAACGCGGCGAAGAAGAGGCGCCGATGGTGTAGAGCGTTTCTTCATACTTTCGTTTTCGTCGCGTTTCTCGCTTTTGCTGGGCTTCGACGTCGCGAGATCGCACGACCGGAATTTCACGAAGTGTTCGCACAAGAGCTCGGCGCGGCTGTTCGGTCACCACGAGTGTTGCGAAGATCCAGACCACCGTATTACGCGATCAGGACTTTCCCTGGGATCATTTTGATCTCGTTCGAATCTTCGTTTTTTTTTCTTTTTTCTTTCGTTCGTACGTGCGTATGTCGATGAAGGGGGATAGTAGTAAATGCTCGTTTATTTTTTTTTTTAATTTCATAGATCGTGAAAGGGATGCGTTTCTGAAGCAGAGATCGTTTACGATGGATCCTTCATGGCGATCGCGGTCACCCGAACAGCCGCGCGTTTCTGGAAATGACAAGGACAGAATTTACAAAGGCCGAGGACTGATTACAGTGCAACGAGTTGTGATTTCTTTTAACCATTTTGTTTTCTTTCTCTTTTGTTTTTTTGTTTTTTTTTTTTGTTGGTTTGTTTCACAAAAATTCGGTACGATCACGGCTTCTTCGATCGTCGCAGCGATCACATGTCGTCGTCGTCGTAAACGTGTGGTACGTATACCTACACGTAATTCAATGTGTAATGTGTGGTGAGTTTGCATTCAGAAACGAATATCTTTTTCGTGGTTTCCCTCCTCTGCTCTCTCCGTTCCCCTTGTCTATTTCTGCTATTATACTTGTACAAATTACCGCTTATATGACGTTAAGTTTCTGGGAACTACCCGCGAACGACTCGGAGTGTACACATTCGCGCGTTCACATGTTCGATTCGTCTCCTTGAATCTCGGATTCAGGATATATACAAGAAAGAATGTACCCTTACGAGCAAACTCTGCTTTCGCTAGGGGAAAAAATGGCGTAAGAGTAAGAGCCTCCTATCACTTGGTAAATTTATTTCAAGTCCTGAATCGAATGGTAATTTGGCAGAAATTTCAGTAACTCTCACGGCCAGAAAATAATAACAGCAAATAAATAGATAAGAGGCTTTTCCCCATTCGCCTCTAACGTTCATCTAGGGAAAAAGCAATCTAAAGGTAACAACTTCCTACCGCTTGATAAATTAATTTCTAATACTGAAATAAAGGTTAAAATGAATGTTAATTTGGTATAAATTTCAGTAATACCCGATACCAAGTTTTAAGAGGCTTTTCTCCAACGCCACTTTTTCCCCTAGTGGAAGCAGAGTTTGCACGTCAGCGTACGTGTCAAGAGAAACTTTCATCGAGACATGGAGGTGATACACTGAGTATCGCGTAAGAAAGAACATATCTCGAAAGGAGCTATCGATTAGAAAGCAAATTTCACCCGAACGGAGATATTTCTGTATTACTGTAGACATTCGTTTGATGTAGGCTAGTTTATTGCACCTTGGGAACGCCCCTCATTGTCACGTATATTTCACACACACGTGCACGCACCCCTGGGCCCGCGTTTATTGCATCGTTCCTGGAAATTTTGGCCACTGACAAGTCCCCGATAGATGCAACAAACGAATGTCTACTGTACTCGTGATTGGCAAACGAAAAGTATTTTCCCTTCTCTCTAGTTTTTCGTACCAACAATGTGACACAAGAACCTTCCTCGCTCTCGTGGGCAGCGTTTCCTGAATCAAAAGACGACGACCCGTGTCGCGACGGCTAGATATACATATACATACAATATCTCCTTGGATACACGGTGGTGATAATTCATTATTGCGAAGTAGCTGATATAAAAAATCGTAATATCACATGTTTATCCTCTTCCGGTTTGCCGCAGTTTTCTTTTTCTTTTTTTTTTCTTTTTTCTTCATTTGCGTCCCGAGTATTCTCTCCGCACGATCCCAAGGACAAGGGAGTGGTCCCCAGGGAAGGGGGTTGTGTTTCTCCGCCGATCGAAATTCGCCCCGCGCACTCCGATTAATTTTATTCGTGGGAAAAACACGCGAGATACGGTGTTGGGTCGTTGCATTGTCCGTTCGGCAACGCGTCTCGAATTCGTAAACAGAATCGACTCGACCTAGGCCGATCGTAAGTCCTCCAGAACTAGTACCGTTACCGATCCAGTTCCTGATTACTGAAGAGTAACTCTTGCGATTTTCTTTTCGAATGTATAACTAGAAAAATGAATCAAATTCAAAATATTTGTCGTTACTAACGAGTCAATGTTTTATCTTTAAAATTCGCTATTAACAAAAGTGCAAAAGTAATAATATTTAAATTATAATTTAACTGTTACGCTCGGTGACTTACGATCGCCCATGGGGGTCGTTTCTACGGGGACGAGGAAACATGCGCCAAGAAGAAAAAGCTCTCACGGATTACGGACCGAGCGAATGAGATCTTGTGATTTCAAACGTCGCAACGGATGCAGCAGCTTTCGGAAAATTTGGTGCTCGAAATGTACCAATTATAGGACGCGAACGTCACAACTAATTAAATTGGTTCTTGGTGTGAAAAAACAATCGAGAATTATAAGATCAAGTTTTTAAAATACGACTGATTATTATATTTACAAAAAACAAAAGAAATTATCACGTGGAAATGATTAAAGATGGCTGCATCCGGTGGGTATCGGAAATCGCAAGCGGATCGACTAACATTTCTCAGCTTTAAGAAGGAGCGGGCGCACCGGTTTCAAAGATCTCGATCGGACTTGGTAGCTTGAGCTGCTAGAAAAAGATGCGTTTCTTTTCGTTCTTCGACCGGGCATCGTTAAACTTTCGCGGTTCGTTAAGTATAGAAACTACGATAGAGCCAGCTATATCGTCTCCGCCGCTAAAACCTAATTAACAAAGTCCTCGGTAAACTGTTCGATAAATTCACAATTTTTCTTTTTTTCTTTCGTTCTCTCTCCTCTCCTCGCCCGTTCTTACGTAACGCGACATTACACACTAACTTTTCATTATTTTCTTGCTCCTTCTCGCACGCATTCACGCAAACGCATAACTCGTTCTCCCTCGCTCTTCTATTTCATTCTCTTCCTATGTATATATTATTTATAATATTTACACGCACGGACATCCCTGGCAGCGCGTTCGCCCGCCCCCCCCCTCGTCCCCCCGTTCTTCTTCCCCACGATTACAGTTTTTCTTTTTTTCCTTTTCGAACCAAAGATCACAACGATCAGGGATCACGGCTGGAAAAGCTTTTGTCCTCGATCGACGCTTGTAAAGCAGTATATATATATATTTACGTAAAAAAGAATATACAAAATACTCGTCGGAGGTTTGAAATTTATTCGGGCAGTTCTCGTCGTTGCCGGCGTCCCACGTTCCCCGTTCGCAGTTAACGAGACTGCCGCCATATTGAACTCTGCGATATACTTTTCCGTTCTCCCGGTTGCGGTTGAATTATTTTGTCAGAAACACTCTCTGTCAGCGTTGTTGGCCGACGGCGAACGTTCACGGAAATTCACGTTTCGACGGTAGAATATACAAAAACAAAAAAAAAGGAGAAAAAACAAGTATCAAGGAGAAACACATTTTTCATTCATCGAAAGTTCCTACTGGTCTGATCGCACCTAACCTTTCGTGAATGAAAACAAATTTCTTCTAGATGCGTGTCACGTCGAACGCATGTATGTATGCATCTCTGAAAACGTGAATTTCCATTGGCACATTCACCGGTCCAGCGATTAAGTAAACGATATCCCTGAAGCTGTTTGCTCGCATATGTCTCGTCGCGGCTCGCCTGGCTTGTCTTACAGCTTAAGCTAACGGAAATATATGTATATATATATATCTAGCCTTAGTCAATTAATTCGCTTCGTCCTACGAAGTGTGAGATCAGTACTTTCCATCTTTGATTGTCCTTCAGAATTGTTACGTGTGGCGTCGTCGTTCTCGAGGCGGCGGAAACTAAATCGAACCATGGTCGTTGTAGCCTTGCTAATCGCGTATTGCAAGCGTGCCCTCTATCGCTCTGTCTATTCCAGACACGGGCAAAAATTCATTATAAAACAAAACAAAAGTGCTTCGAAATTTTAATAATAAAAGTAATACTTATTCTTGAATGAGTCGACATGTGGCAAACAATTGTTTTATCTCGTTAACTGTTCAAAACTCAGGATAACGCCCTTAAATACCGCTGCTCTTCACTATGTATTATTCGAATAAAATTGTGCCCAACTCTGGTCTATTCACGACTCTTTCCTTCCCCTTTCCCTCCCATCTGTGCACCGGAAGTCGAGGAACGGACGGAGAATTCGGGCGACGATCCGTCCACGGGCTTAGGTACGCGCTGTCACGGATGCATGCGCCATAAATTATTTATATTTACGAATATATGTATATGTACACGTCGTAGTTACAAGATATATGTATATATATATATATATATACACCTAATATTGCTGTTCGGCTTCGTGAATGCCATGTACGCGGGATTAGGTCATATGTGTTCGCAACGTAACAAAGTACAGAAACCTCGGTGGTCGTGACGACGACCCACGTTCTGCGTGTATCTTTCATCTGCGATGCCGAAAACGGACCAACCGAGATGCGTCCTCGATGATTCACGTTTACGTTGGGAAAACGTGCTCGAGGATCAGGCGGCGCACGCAAATCATCGATGAGTGCTCGAAAGGCTATTCGGCACTGACAAGGGAAGGATTCCAACTATACTATTTCGATTTGAAATATGTATTCTATCATCCAAGAAAAGATCGAGAAAATCGCTCAGTGGTGGGGATGACGTCTGAACACTCATTGCTCGAGTAGCCATCGAATTTTCATCGATGATTTACTGCTACGAGTTCGGTGAAGACCGTTTCTCGATTGCCCAAAAATTGACTTCTAACGGTATTCTACGACGCAGACCGATTCGAGGCTCGCCGAATCTATCCGTGGCGAGTCGGAGGAAAAATTCTGCGCGGAAACGAGCACCGTTGATCCGTTTTAAAAAAATAAAGCTGACTCCTAGGCATCTACGGATTTTCTTGTACCCCGTGACCTCTGCGTTGCGCGGATTTTTCGTCCACTCTGACGGTTTTTAACGCGTTCGCTGCGTAGAGAATTTCATTTTAACGTTTCTCATCTGTGACTGTGATCGATCGAATATCATTTTTCGCCGTTATGCTGGACGACGAAATTAACAGTCGATCAGCCGGAATAGCTGATTTTTTTCTGGTAACTCTCGCGGAAGTCAACGTGCCAAAGGACACTCGAGGCACGACAACGGCTATCGAATCGGTCTGTACTTCGTTTCACCTCAACAAGATCGGTGAGAATACTTTCTGAAACGTGTACACTTGAAGAAATGCGACGAAAGGTGTATAACCTTGAGAGAACCGTCTGGGCGCTTTCGTATTGCACGAAATCGACAAGAAACGAACCATATAATAAACGGCGAATAGTAGAAATTAACAGATTTCTTATTGATCTAGTTCTATATTCGGTTAAAAAACACTGTCAAGTTGAAAAAGTGCTATCCAGCAAGAAATGGAAATATTAAATCGAAACGGTGAGTTCTCTCAGGGTTATGGTTTGCAGAATCGAAGAACACGAATGAATATTCTGGTGAAATTTCCACTTTGCACTGTCACACAACCGATTCGATCGCACGCCGCACAGTCAGACGGGGGAACGGTCGAAAGGCCACCGATCGGCGTTGACGTTGTCACGGAAAATTGAAAAAATTCTCTTTTCGAAAGTTGCGCGAGAAACAGCAACGATAAAAAGCAAGCCGACAACGCATCCCGGTTCCTTCCACCTTGAGCAACGGCGCTCGACTGTGATCTCTGATCGTTCCGATCTCCCCATTTACCCGAATTTCGCGCGAAGCCCCTTCTTTCGACGCCGACTACCTGGAACAATTAGGGGATGCGTGTAGTTTCTCGAATATTTGAACGTAACAAAGCCGAATGTCTACTAAACTGCATCCAAGGTCGCTCCCTTTCCCAATTATCACGTTGCCCCTCGATTGTTCCGAGTACATTTCGATACTTAGACGAAAAAAAAAATCCGTATAAAATCGTTTCCACCCTTCGGTTAGACGTTTTTTCTTCTCATCTCTCTCAACCACGTGGTTCCTATTCGCGTTTCTTTTCTTGCTTCGTGTTGCTTCGTTTAATTTCTTACTTAAAATCTATTCGCGCGCATCCACGAGTCTAGCTCTGAGATCCCCTAAGATGCGTGTAAATCTACGATTACAGTGTGTCCATATGTGTGTGTGTCTGTATGTATGTATGTGTATTTGGCGTAGAACGTGAGTATTTCGGAATAGTTTCCCAGTTCTTTTTCCCCCTCTCGCTATCCGTCGACTTTTCTTTGTTGTTCTGTTTTTATGTTCGATGTCTCGAAGAAGCCGTCGCAAGCAATTGAACTCGACAATAATTTCTGTTCGATTTATCGCGATTCATTATTATATATATATTTTTAATTATATTATTAATCAATTACGGTAGTACTTTTCTTTATTTCTTTTTTTTTTGTTCGTCTTAGGTTTCGTTCTTCGCGCGTGTACCGACGACCATTCGGGGTCGAAGCTCGCTGAAGATCATTCGCGAAGCGTTTGTAGCGGAAATTTTGCACAGCGTCCTTAAAACGTACGGCGTTGAAGAATTACAGACATTTACGGTTTAATCGTACATCTTCGGTTGTGTTGCACACGCAGTCGGTTTCGTTGAACGGAATGAAAGTGTTCGGCGCCAAGATGGAGGCTGGCGGCCCGAGAACCACCAATCGAGAGATCCCCCTCCTGGTGCAATTTTCATAGGGAGATCCCAGTCGTACCTGAACCCTGTTCAAGGGGTTCCGTCGGGACTACTCCCCGTTACTACGAAGACACTTCGTCGTCCACAGAGTTCGTTTCTTAGCTCCGTGATGAGCACCCCCGTTCGTTGTTCCGCCTCAGAGCAGGAGCCTCGAGACAACCGTCCGGAGCCGCAAGAACTTTCACAAGTACTCTCTGGGCCTGGGCGGAGGCCTCTTTCGGTCGGTGCTCCTCTCCGTGGTGCCGGAGCATTGCTCCCTGTCGTCGGTGCACTCGAGCATCTGTGTGGTCTCGGTCGCCTCGGACGGGCTGATTGGCTGGCTGGCGAGCGGCGCCAGCGGGGCTGCCCCCTTGTTCCGTGATTTGCTCCTACGTTTACGCAGTATCAACGGGCCCAACGGGGTGGAATCGTCGCCCCTGGACGTGGACGCCTGGGCGAGCCTTTCCAACAGCTCCTTGCTGACCTCTCGGGACGTGGTCTTGTAGTCCGTCTCGCGTAGTCGATCCGACGGCTGCTGATGGTGATGATGGTGATGATGATGATGTTGATCCTGGGACTTTGAGCTACGCTCGGTGGTCGTGCCCTGCTCCCTGTAACCCTCCCCAGCCATCGTCGCGGTGGACGTGGTCGCTATCGACACCTTTTGCTCGCCGATCACGCTACCGCCTGGCGTCTGAGTAGCCTGCTGGCAGCCAGACGAGCTCTGTACCGGTACACAGGATAGCTGAGTCTGACCGTTGCTAGACGAAAAGACACCGCCACCCTTTTGTTGTTGCGGGCTCATCGTCGGCAATCGGGTCATCAGCATCTGCAGCATATCTTCGATCTTTGCCAGCCTCTGATTCACCCGTTGCACCTCCAGCTTCAGGTCGACCTTCACCTCGAGCACTGCTGCCAGAATCTCCCGATCGTGACTCGGCTGCGTGGTGATCAGCCCGTCGTCGTAGCTCTCCAATCGACGAAGCTGCAGCTGTTTCGAGTCAGCTGCGTTTTGCTGTTGCTGGCTGTCCTTCGCTGCGTCCGTGTCGCCGGATTCCTCGATGGTGCCGGTCAGCTTGCCAAATTTCGGGAACACTTTGTTACTGCCGCCACTCGAGCTGGGTCTCGCGTCCCTTGCGCTTAGAGATCGCTTGAAGGTGTCCGTTCCTGTTCCACCCTCGCTACCGGAATCTAGGCTTGCGCTTCCTGCGTTTGAAAAACGAACGGTGTTACTCGTATATTTGGATAATTCTGGAATACTTTGCGATTGAACGGGAATTTACGGAAGTGACGTTTTTTAATAATCGATGTTAGTCGATCCACTCCGATTATTTTACCTAACAACCGTCCCCATTTCCCGGTTCGCCCTTTGGTGGCGGTGTTCTCGTCCGTGGTGGACAGTTTCCTGGAGTGCGAGGACTCACCCTCCTTGCCGTCCTTGCCGTCCTTTCCGTCACCTTTCTCCACATCTGCGCTGTGCCTCTCGCGGCGGAACCTGAATCGAAAAACGTAGAGAGCGAGAACGCTCGTCTTTAATGTCCGACCGAGATATACATCCACGTGAAGAGAGGGGGGGGGGGTGGTAGGGGGGCTATATACAAATACAGGGGTGGTCAAAAGGCCAGTTTCACTAGGCAATTAATTAAATAAAGGGGAATAATAAAATACATGGTGTACAAGTCGTGGAATGGGGGAAGATTTACGTATTATTTTTCTTTTTTTTTCTTTTTTACTTTTTGTTCGAAAATTTCACCTCATTCGGCTGCGTGAAACTTTTTCCTTTTTCTTTCGGTGTTCAGCGGCCGCGCGAGATCATTCGTTCCCCCCGTGACATGAATGCTTCTCGTCACTTTTTTTTCTTTTGGTTCTTATCGTTCTTTTTGGTTTTTTTTCTGGGTGGGTGGGGGGTTCTTTATGGACGGGGTGAACAGACGGTGATTGTTTTCGTTCGATTCTTGTGACAAAGATGAGAGAGTCAAGTTCGTTCTACTGACAAGGCTAGAAAAAAAGGGAGACAGCTCCAGCGGTGTGTTCACGAGCAACCTACTTTGGTGTGCCTACGGGATTCGAAAGACAAGTAAGTTCTCAGTGGTGATAAAATGCCGATATAAAAACATACGGGAGAAACGGGACGGCGTCGATCAACCCCGTTTAGATCGTGATCCAGAACACGTATCTCGATAGTTTGGAGGATCGCGATTCTCGTTGCTATTTCGCAAATTATTCATCCGATCGAGCGATATTTCTCGAATAGAAATCCCTCGTATTCGCGTTCAACTTAATTTACCCGCCAGCCGTCGCCACCGCCGCCATTTTGGTCCCACGATCACAACCGGAATTCGAAGAAGGTAAAAAAGTAATTTTGTAGACGATACAACGCTGAATAGCTTCTTAAAAGGAGTATTTAAATTGCTACCACGGTATTCAAAATACTAAAATACTTGGGATCCCGAAATTATACTGTAATACCAATTTGAAGAAAGTTGTTCCGTTTTAAAGGGTGTACCAATACTTTTGTCCCTCACTTAGTTTACTTTTTTAAATGCATAGTTCACTTTTGGCTCAGCGGCGCCGGCCGACGTGTTCACGTGGACCATCAGCAAAGAAAATCTTCCTGTTCAGAAGTCGGTTAACGCGCTCGACGTTCACCAGTGTGACCGACGCACGAGTTTACCGGGCTAGGAGCCACGATCTTCTAGGTTCATCGACGTAAACGTTCGGATGATTACGGTTGTAACGGTAACCGCGAGCTGCCTGATCAACTTTTTGGAATGCCGGTGAACGATCGACTTCGATCGATCCAACCGTTCGATGATCACCTCGCTCGATAAAATTGTCTACGTAGTATTCTAAAGAAAAAAAGACAAATCTATCATGCATATATAGAACATGCCACGATCGAGGTTCTAACAATCTTGGAAAGAAAAAGAAAAAACGTTCCCGATGAATGTACCTAGTAGATACTATCTACGGACCGTTCGTCGGCAGTCTGGCAGTTTTTCAAGCAGCTACTTGGCACCGGTATAAATATATAGATATATATATATTTGTATGTATGCATAATGTATGTGTATATCTGTGTGTGTATGTATAGAAATATATATATATAAGTACAGGTGACAGAGAGAAACTTGAATCCTAGAGTGTGTGTACGTCACATGCATTCGGCGTTGCATAAAATCGTAAAAGGATCGGATGCTCGAGGCTCGGTGAGGACTTCGATACTTTTTTTGCCTCCCCCATTTTGAATTTCGTCTGTAGTATCGTCTCGAACGATTATTCAACCCGACTACGTTTGTCGTATCTGTCAAGTGGGCGACGAGCAACGAGGACCGAGCGTTTAAGGGTTTGCAATGTGACCCAGTTGACAGATTAAACGGAAGAAAACAGTCCAACAATAATAATGCAAATTAATGAAATTAATCTATTAAATGTTATTACGAGCTCGTGTCAAGATCGGCGAAAGAGTCACGAAGCCCTCGGAGTTCGCTCTATACAATCCTGATTCCGCTAAAAGATATAGTATATATGTATATTATATATATGGTGGGAGAAAGATGCGCATAACCCTCTAAAGCCGTATATCTTACAGCACTCTAGCATTCGTCAGAACTGCAGTGATCGCCAAAAAAATGGCAAAGATTGTATATTATAATGACACCGGGTGGTGATATGTGTACACGCATCTTGGAGGATGCAGTTCCTGGCCGAATCGAGCTCCGGTCGTAGAGTCACGAGATACGTGAAACGGGGATCGAGTACCTTTGGGGTGTATGTTCTGCCTATGACCATCTATGATCTACAAACAAAAGAAACAAAGAAAGATAGAGTAGAAACCATAAACCACGCGGACACTACAATCGTTGTCTTTCTTTATTCTCTTTTTTTTTTAAGAAAAACAGACGAAAGAAAGCATCCATGTACTTGAATAAGAGAAAGTTTCATTCGAGATATCGGTAGTTCGACAACGCCTCCATTTATGGGTAGCCTCGAGCGGTTTATCGATTTCGTTCCAACTAACTTATACGAGCGGATATCAATTAGAGATTTTCTCGCAGAGGCTTTTAGCGAGATCAATAGAGAATTTCTACGGATTAATCGGCGTCTACGGCTCTACTGTTGCCCACGGTGAGTCGAGTCTCGATTCGGCCAGGGGTGTTTTTCGTAGACGTGCTGTGAAAATAGAATTAATAGATCAGTTTCTCTTTCAAGCGTGTGTACAGCGATTGCACATCCGTGATACCCTTTCGGAAACGTCTGCCAAACCATTGTATAGAAGAATATCGTGGCCTTTTATTATTTTTTTTTTTTTTGTTTTTTTTAATGCGCGCGTAACGAGATCGGCAACAAGATCGTCGAAAAAGCATGGTTCTCGCGCGTGAGTGTATCGAATTCCAAAAAAAATTTCCGACATCCGTCGTGATCGGTTGGATCCCGAGCGCCGTTAGTCCCGGTGATCGACGGCAAAAATTCTCACGGAGTCTATTGTATTCTATGTATTATAGATAGTCTCTGTTGAGCGACGGACAACAAAAATGGCGGATTCACGGGTTTGACCCCGTGAACCCGCAAACTTACACGTGTACGAAATAATCGACGCGACACAAGGTATACATGTACAACAATATCCGTGTGTATTACTTTTAAATATATATATAATATATATATATATAGTTCTATATATATATATATGCAGAGAAAAACCACAGTTGAGAGTATAATAATAATAATAATAATAATAATAATATATAACGATATACAATAATAATAACGATGGTGAATATAATCATAATGAGAAGAAGAATAATAAATCGAATCAATCAAATAGTAATAATTAATCGATCATAATCAAGAGTGTTCTCCCTTTCATTTTTGTTTTCGTTTTTTTTATTCTATTTCTTTTTCATTTTTTTTTTACGTAAGAAGTAGCAAAGATGGCAATAAAAAAGAATGAAGAAGATAAATAAATACGTAAGAAATGAAATTGCCTAAAACTGGGCCAGGGCGGCAGGACGTTCACGGTGAGCTCCTCGTCGGAATCCTGCTGGGACCGTCCGTTTGCGGCCCTGGTCACGCCAATCTGGGCTTCCCCGTCGGTCTTGAACCTTTTTGGACAACAGGCCAGCCAAGCAACGATCAACAATCAACAACAATTTACCACAGAGATACGATAGGAAAAGTAATGAGACGTGGATCGCCCGGTGACGACACACTTTATGTGCTTTCTCATCCTTTTTTTTCCCTCTCTCTTTCTTCTCTCTCACTCTCTCTCTCTCTCTCTCTCTCTCTCTCTCTCTCTCTCTCTCTCTCTCTCTCTTTCACACACTCTCTACCATTCTTTCTTCCGCTCTCTCTTCTTCTCTCACGCTCCTCCTTCCGTTAATTCATTAATCTCCTTATCATTAATAAAACTGTTAACGTTTCGTTCGATTTGGTAAGCTCGACAACCGTCCCGGACAATGCCTGCGCGCGCGCGCGTTCTCTGATGCGATCGCTGTAACCAAATATCTCATCACTCTTGCCGAGGATTCCTTGTCCTGGAACTTTCAAACGTGATAACTAAAGAATTTTTACTATCAATCGCCGTGGACCAATCGTGTGTGTGCAACCGTTTCATTCCGATTACAAAAATTTTTCACGGGAACACGCGCGCTAAAAAAAAAACAGAATTTAGTCCAATACACGTGGATAGACGCTTCCGTTCAAGATCCTCCATCTTTCTTTCGTCTTCGAGAAGTTAGTGGAGACGATATGTAGAGGTCGGACAACAATGTATCCTCCGCCAGAACAATATATACTCAGTAGCGGTTTTATGGACATTCGAAATTGGATAAAATAAATTGGATGAATAAATTGGATAAATCTTGTGGCCGATGGAAACGGTCCACAAGCAACGTGCAATCGCGTGAAAGATGAAGGACCATTGAGGGAAGCACCGACACACTCCGCATCGAAATGGATTCGCGTTGGTATCCATTCGAGCTCAATGGCAACAAATCTGTCCCTACCTCGAGAAAATTTTTCGCACCAGGTGATCCTGCGCTTGATCCAGCTGGGGCTCGTTCTTCCTCCTCTCGGCGAGCTCCTTTTCCCGTCGTACGTCTGCCACCTTCCGGAATATCAGCTGCGCACACAAAGCACAGAGGAAGGACCCTGATTTATTCATACACGAGAATCGATCCCTTTTTCGGTCATTCGTTCGTTTAAATATATTTCAATGTACGGACTTTTTCCTCGTGTCCCGTGGATGCATAAAATTTACAGTACACAGAACGGAATGGATAAGATCATGGGCGTTGGAAAAAAATGGCTTTTACCCCAACCTACAAGAAAAAAATTTAATTTTGCCAACAGACCATACATTTGCAACGATTTATTACTTTAAAAACAAAATAAAGCGTGTCTGGTTACGTACAGCCTTTTTCACTGTGGCAGTCGATGTGTTAATATTTTTAGCCCCCCTGATTGATAACCTGGCTACGCCCATGGATAAGATTAGGTGTGGATAAGCTGATTAAGAATTTAATAATTTTCTGCTATTTTATTCGTGCAGTTTGTACCTGCTTGTTTATAATCGTTCGTCTATGATTATTTATAATGCACGCCGCATACAGGCGGATCGACTTGTTTATTTCGGTAAACGAACAAATATTTAATTAGAACGTAATTATATTTGAAGCCACCGGGTATTATTTATGGGTCCCGGAATGATTATATATGCTCGCGGTCGTCTCCACTGCTATTATTAATGTTCCGCAACACGGCAGACCCTTTATCGGTTTTCCGCCCCTTACTATGTAGGTGACGATTATTCGGTTAATTATTCAGTATTAATAATTATCGCGAACCGTCCGCGTCACGGGTCACATTGTGCTGTTCAAAATTAGATTCACGGTAATACAGGGTGAATTACGTGCCGGGTCAATCCTTTCGGCTCGAATTACCGTTGCCTTTTGTCCGCCCGATATTGGTACACACATTTAAATAACGTGAAAGCTGCATGGACAAATATGTAGGTAGGTACGTATAATTCAGTAATTAGCGAGATGCAGCTTATGCGTATATTCTAACTATACAATTTTCCAGAAGATTATGAATAATTTTATTGCACGTGAATTAACGTGCTTTCAATTGGCACGTATAAAACAACATCTACGGAGTTCTGTTAACCTTGCTTCCTAAAAAATTCATAGCGTTCGTGTTTCCGTTAAAATGTACGCGAACGACAATAGATACGAAGAATTGTTTTTCGAACAACCAATCTCGTGTACGCTGTAATCGTGGCTGTATCGAAGATTCGATCGAATCGTTTCGATAGCCGAAGCTTTAATGCCAGAAAAACAACGGTTCCTCTATATTGTTTTACCGGATGAGAAATCTCGATAAGGGAGAAAAGTCCGCACGCCCACGCTCGCCTGTGACGCCTGCGCGGTGACGAGAGTCGATAGGCGCATAAGTAGCAGACTGCCCGTCCTCGGTTAACCTCAAAATATTTTATTTATCGCGTCGGAACGGGATAGGTCGGGGACCGTTCCGTCGACGAGTTCCGTTCAGGAACTTCGTCTCGGATGTGTCGTATTCGATTTTGAAAAAAAAGTGCGCGGCATTGCGCGTACTTTGAACCTTGTGATTCGTTCGGAACCTTAATTGTCCCGAGGAATCACGAAGACGTGTATGGATTGTTGTACAGAGTACTCCTCGTATTTCAAAGGTTTAGTATCTCATTCGTCCTTTCTTGTAAAGAAACTGTGATTTAATATAATCATGTGGTCTCACGAAACGATTTTCCTTCAAATATTGACAAGTCTGGATAACAAGCACGGGCAAACAAAAGCGTCACATTGGACAAGTAGAATAGGCGTTCACGGGTCAGACAGACAATATAAATTCGTGTCACTGTTTATTAAAGACAGTTTCTTCTGTTTTTCCACTATTGTTTTGTGTTATTTTTAATGTTTTACACGTAATAGATGGAATAAGTATAAATTGAGCTAAATAAATTGTTCCAGATGGGTCATGGTTCGAGTCGATCCGCTTCGTCCGCGAATTTATTATCCGCGGATGAGCTGACCTTAGTGGAAAATCTCTTTAAATCTATGTTCCGAAGCTCGGGCTCAATAAAACGGGAGGACATATTCAAGCACTGGTCCACCCACCTAGACGATACCTTATTGCAATTTGTGGTACGGTTCCTTTGCCATGAACCAGGAAAGAAAGTGTCAGCTATAAATGGAGAGAACTTTGGTCGTTTGTATGTGTTTGCTGTACGTGGCAGTCCAGAGGAGAGGACAAGTTTAATCTTCAGTGGTTACTCGGAAGAGGAACAGAAGCAGGAAATACCCACCGAACTGTTCCTACAGTATGTCCAAGCTACAATAAATTCTTATTTGAGGTTACAGAAAAACTCCAGCAATGCACATTACTTAACATGGAGCAGCATTGGTTGCACAGTAAATACAAGGCGGATAGGAATGCGTTCTAGAAGTTTGTGCGAAGATATTGTTAAACATGGGGATACATTGTCGGCTGATCAAATTGAAAGTTGGTTTGCTACAGCTGCCACGTTTAAAACAATCCAATCGCACGTCTTCCAGTGCCTTTTCCTGGTCTCTCAGAAGAAAGGAGACAAGACCACGAGCAGCCGACTAAACGATTTGAATCTTCTGCCTGTCTGCAAGGGTTTAGAGAACATTCCTCACTTTCCAAGTATCCTGGGATTGGGGGATGTTCTATTCTTGAATCTGAGCTTGCCTCACGAACTTCGCAACGAATGGAGATTCTTGTTTTCTAGTCAAGTGCACGGAGAGTCATTCTCCACCATGCTAGGAAGAATTACCATGCAAGGATCCACAATTATAATTCTCCAAGATACGGACGACCATGTGTTTGGTGGTTATGCCTCGGACAGTTGGGCTATTGGTCCCAATTTCATCGGGAACCAGAGCTCGTTCTTATTTAAACTTGAACCAGATATATTAACATTCTCATCTACGGGTTACAATAATCATTATCAGTATCTGAATCTTCATCAACAGACTATGCCTAACGGTTTACTTATGGGAGGACAATTGAACTACCCTGGGATGTGGCTGGATTGTGAATATGGTACTGGTAAATCCAGCGCGTCTTGTACAACCTTCCAGAACTATGTTCAACTTAGCGGCAAGGAGACTTTTAAGATTAAACATTGCGAAGTTTGGGGTGTAGGTCCGTTACCAGAGGCGGAAGGAGATTCACGAGAGTCCAGGTCGATCTTGGATCAGGATTCTACCTCTAAAGTAATATTGGAAATGTCTGGGCGTAAAATGCACAGCGACGGGTTGAGGGAGAAGAAAGAGTGATGCATGAGATTCACTGGTATTATGGGTGTATACGAATCTATATCAGGCTACTGAAAATGTAACAGCTTTTTAGACAAAAAAAAAAAACATAATTATTACAACAGTATCTATAAGGTGACGAGCAAGGAAGTAACGGATACCGCGGTCATATCAATAATTTCGTAGGTCAAGATGTTCTCAAACGGGTCAATAAACATTGAAACGAAATCTATTAACGTTCAACAAGTTTCTAAGCGTTCGTTTCCATTCACTGTTCGTTCAACGTTCAAGAAGAAATTGTATCCCCGCAACGGCCTGATCTCTCGAGCTAAAATCATTTCCGATCTTCCAGTAAATTCGTACGGCTTTCTTATGCTAATTAACGAACACCATGCCCGTTGATACTGAAAAGAGCAAACACGCGAGTTGCTGTGTCGTTTGAATGCCTATTATCTAGTGCCTGGTGAGTGGTAAGTCATTTTTAATCGGAGCATCACGATGCGCACCGATAAAACTCTGTATCAGTAAATATTGTGCGCCACGGGGTTACCATTGTAATATAAGACTGTGTGTTATTCCTATTACCAATCAACAGCAAAACCAAAGAGAGAACACTGCACTGTTGATCGAGAAACGTTGGGAGTTCAATAAAGGAACTGAAACCTCAGCGAGTTTTCATTATTTCTCCCAACTCTATCCAATTCCGAATGTACACAATGTCTGTCCACACTTTGCGAATATAACCTCTGCACATACAACACAACAGAAAGAATGCACAAACACACATGGAATGTTCCATTCGTACTGTACGTATATATGAAGGTATACGAAACCGAGAAAAAAAAGACATTGTCTTCAAGGTCATTTCAAGATCACACGTGTTTAACGTTCGAACAAATGAACGAGGGCAAAGTAGAGAACCCAAACGATGATAGTTTCGAGGGGGGTGATTCCGTAAGCTCGCGGAGTCTGCGTTGAACAGCGCATAGATCGATAGTACCGAAAGACCTCGAAATGTCCTTGGAAACACGACGAAGACATGGGTGGTGTAACGGTTGTACGAACACCATCGACAACTTACCCGATGACTTAGGTTGTACGTTAGGACGAGGTTCCTGGCGAACGAATTGGCGAACGCCTGATAAAAGTCTAGCACCTCCAGCAGTCGATCCCGTTTGATGGTGTGAAGGTCGCAGTAGGTGAGAGCACGAACGTTCGCCGCGCTCTGTCCCACGGACGGGTTCGTCCAGAAACTGTCCCCGAACACGTCTCCCTTGCCGAGAATCGCGACCACCTCGTCGTCCTGGATCACTTCGAGGCTACCGGTGACGATGAAGCAGAGCGAGTCGATCGACTCGCCCGTGTGATAAAGTAAATCGCCGGGGGCGCTGTGCGACATTGTAAAGTGCATCGCCAGCGCGCGCAAGCAACCGTCGGAGGCCAACCTGAAGGTCAATATGGAATTATTTAGCGGGCACGGTGTAGAAATTCGCTGGTAAAGACATTCGACAGGTAAGGGATGATCCTTGAGCATTCGAATACCAAGGAGGGGGGATGGGGGGCAGGCACCGTGTTTTTTTTTCCGAGGATAGAGGACGGCTCACCTAAACGCTGGGTGTTCGTTGAAAACTTTTCTATTCAAGTGAACACAGATGTCCGCTTTCATGTCCTTGGGGCAGTAGTTGAGCACTTTGTCGGTGTCTAGGCCCTTGGTCATCGCCCAGGTACTCACAACGTAGTCCATCACCCGTTCACTGAGAGCCTTCGGCACCTCGTGCAGCTTCATGAATTCCCTGACGTTGTTCAGCATGTCGTGGTACTTGGCGGTGGCGGAGGTCATTTGTTGGATTATCGTGGTCACGTGACCGAAGATCGTTGCGTAGAGCAGGGCTGCGGGTGTCAACAGAATTACAAACACACGTGTGTATCCGTTCCGCGAGAGAAAGGTAAAGTTGTTTTCTGTTATAAAATCTGTAAAGTTGTTGTTAACTGTAATTACAGTTATGTTACTTGGACCACCCTGTACGTTGGACCTACAAGGTTCCCGCGCTGTTAATCGATATTTCCAATAATATGCCTAGTTACGATATCACTGATAGACGATCGTACCCGCGATAATCATCATGCAAATGGTGAAGATCTTCTCGTTGTCGGTCTCCGCGGCTACGTTCCCGAAGCCCACCGATGTCATGCAGGTCATCGTGAAGTACAACGCGGTGACGTACATGGTCCTCCTGGACGGTCCAGCGACGAGTTCCGGGGCGGTGCTCGTATTGGTCCATAGATAGCTGTACGGTGACTGGGTGACGTTCGCCAATTTCCACAGCCAGGAATATTGTACACCGTTGTCGGCGTCCGATCGTCCTATCGAGTACCTTCAACGCAACCAGACATCTTACCTGGATGACAGACAGGAGGGCAGGCACAGCCACGAGATCGGCGAATGAAAGGCGATCATCGAAAAGCACGCGGGGGGCATGCTTTCTCTGCTAGAGATCGTGTATAATAATCGCTGACAGTGATTTGTCACAGTGATCGTGGAATCATGATCACGATCATGACCCAGATAGCACATGACGCCTTAAAGACGCCTATTTTACGGCCATTTTCGGTCTAAGGCGCCTTTAAGCCGTCTTCAAGGCGTCGTATGCTATCTGGGGCACGTTCCGGCTCGCGTTTATTACATTCTATCCAAGGTAAAAAGGAAAAGGGCTCTTTGTCGATGGTCCAACGAGCTAACGATTCGGCAAGCATTGCCCGTGATTTCCTTTCTCCTCGCCTACACACGTTTCTAAGACGTTTCGTTCGCGTCTACCTCGATGCGTTCATTTCCAAGCGCTAGATCGCTGGCGTGGAACAAGCGAAAATTAATTAAGAAGCGTCGATGGAAAGAAACTAGTAACATTCGGGGATGCAACGTTTCTTCTTTTTTTTTTTCTTTTAATAAAGGCGTGACAAGTCGTTTATTCTTTTCGTTCTCGCCGGGCAGAGCTGTTCCACTAGGTAACCGAGACCAGACCATCGTTACCGTTTCTAGAAGCTGTAGGCAACCTCGTTCGTATCGGGGGACAGAGAGCACCTTGGTATCCCTCTATCAAGAACCGCAAACTTCACGCAAAGTGAATTTAAAAATGACAATTAACCCTTCAAGTATTTTATTCATTATTGTATTCATTGTTATATTAATTATTTTTATGCTGTGACGAGTATACTCAACAAAAGCACAGTAAATGCATTCGCTGTAAAACTGAAATAAATTCTAATTAAATGACACAAAATTACTCTGGCGATGTTTTTTGTTTTTGCAAATTTTGTTTCGGTCAATGGCCAGTATACTCGTAATTAAACAAAAGAATGCCATCCTTTCAGGACGATTGTCCTCGACATAAATATCAAAAGGGTTAAAAGTCTTTCGTTTCTCCCGATAGGAACGAGAATGGAAAGCGGCTCATGCGTCACGGTGTATCGTGTGCGCGTGTCTGTGTGTTGTGTTTCTAAACTGTAAGTGTCGCGGTTAGTGGTCAGGACATCCCAGAGTGTCTTCATGATTCGTAAAATGTTAATTGCGAGAACGTTAAACCTACTGTACATTAAGGCGTCTCGTCATAGACGCTTCATAGACATTTGACGCCTGCAGGACGCTTCCATGTACAGTGAATCCTCGATTAGTGTTCGACGGCTCCTCGGCACGAAACATAAGGATGTAACCAATATCTTTTCCGACCTTTACGCCTTAATGGACAGTAGGCCTTAATCGGAGAAATTCACGTGGACCGATTACACTGTGTGTGGAGTCCCATCCGCTACTCGCGATGCGTATGGATACGTCAAGTGGGGGCGGGGGGGGGGGATGTAATGACGTCGAGTTATAGCCGTCAATCCTGCCGCAGCTGTGTTACCTTTCTGTGTGTGGGCAGGGTAAAATCACCTTAAAGTGACGTACCAGACACAGGCCAGCCAGTGAGCAACCAACATGTAGAAACAGAGCAGAAGAATGAGCATCGCGGCTCCATACTCCAGATACCGGTCTAGTTTCCGAACCACGCGGCCCAGACGGAGCAAACGGACCACCTTCAGGGCGGAGAACAGGCTGCCGATCCCGTCCTCGTCGTGGTCGAACGCGTTGAACACGTCGTACGGCAGGCAGCTGAGAAGATCGATGATGAACCACGATTTCAGGTAGTTCATCCTGATCACCTGGAATCGCAAAACACGTACATATTTTAATCCACCTTGTATATGGCTTGCACCTATGTAATAGGTTGCAGTCTATGGGAAATAATGTTGAGTTTGTGTCATCGTTTTTCTGGCTTCGATGTTATTAACATATTATAAGTACTAAACACAGCATCGTTTCGCATAGACTACAACATATAATATTAAATTTTATAAACTTTACTAGTGGAGACAGAACAATCAAGAACTAGACCGTCGAAATTACAATTTTCTTGTCCAGTCGACGAAGATGGACAGGATTTTCGGTAATGGATGCACAGATTTACCTTCGGGTCAGACACCACCTCGCCGCCGGGACCGACGAACGTCGTGTGAAAGTTCAGGACAATGTCGATGAAGAATATGACGTCGACGATGCTGTCGACGACCAACAGCGACACGTCCTCGCTGGTCTTGTTCTTGAACGCGACGTTGTACGGCACCATGATCGCCGTGTAAAATGTCAAACACAAAATAATCCAATCCCAGATCGCCTTGAACGCGCAGTAATGTAACAAAATGTGCGGCGGTGTCTTCGGCGCCTCCTGTCTGTACTGCGGCATCACGTCGCCGCTTAAGGTCAACATCTATACGGGAACGGGAACGATAAAACATGCAGAATTATATTGTCTCGGTTAGCTACTCTATTGTTCACGTCCGTCTTCCTACTGTATTCAAATAATAAACAAGAGAATTCGTCGGACTAACTTACTGCTTTAAGACACGAAGTTATACAGGGTGTCCCAAAATAGCTTCGATTCCCGGAAATGAGTTCCTGGGATGATTTGAAACAACTTTTTTCTCAGCAAAAATGTGCTCCGAGGCTTTGTTAACGAGATATTAATGAAATACTGCCGGCCGAGCATCCGCTGTGGCAGTGACTACCAATCGCAGCGGGTAGCTAACCACCCCCTCTCCGTTCCCAGAGTTACAAAATTTTTGCGTAATATTTAATATTGCAATATAATTTGAAATACGACCCCTCTATTAACAAAACGCGTAAATTTTCAACCATTTAACTTTAAAAACAAAATAAAGTGTGTCTGACTACGTACAGCCTTTTTCACTGTGACAGTCGATGTGTTAACTCTCATTCGTCCCTCGTGTCAATTTGACAAATCTTTCCCTTAAGAAATGATGTCATTCCGTAATGTGTTGATAAATTTAGCTGAAACTTGGATTTGGAGAACTTGCAAATTTAACTATTTATCTCTTCGTTATATGAATTTTTCACCACTCTGTCAATTTAACACCGAGGGACAAATTAAGTTCGGAAAATGAGGGACAGATGAGGGTTAATATTTTTGCCCCCACCCCTGACTGATAACCTGGCTTAGGCCATGATTGTTTGTTTGTTTGTCGCACTTACATGAGCTAAATGGGACTGTTTCGCAGTGGTCGGTAACGCGGAATCCTTGAGGGCGGGCAGATGGGAGCTGAACTGCGAGACAAGAACGGATCTGGACCTGGTGACCGATCTGGCCAGTTTGGCGAACTTTGATAGACCGCCCTTGCTGTCGTCCGCCTCGATCGGCTGCTTCAGGGCGGTGATGTCCCGGAAGGGCAGCAGGAACAGGACCACCAGGTCCCGTTCGTTTTTTATCGGCGCTATTTGCAGAAGCAGCCATAACGGTGTTTCTGTGCATCAATCGGGGGGAAAACGAGAGACATTGTCATTCCGAGACTGGCCACGGGGACACGCGTTCCCGATCAACAGATGCTAATCTATCCAGAGCTATGTCTCGACAAATGGTCGTAGGTCTAATTAGCCGTTCTTCTTCCGATATTACATACTCGATTCGTATAACCGTGCAGAAAGAATTTCGCGACATCGCAGGAACGAAAAGATATTTATTAATTGGACTTCGAAGTAGAATATTTAAATCTTACGGCTTATCAATTTCACCAATTTATATTTTAAACTACTTTAAATTAGTTTAATGGAACAAGAATTTACAAATAAGTGGAAGTATACGAAATTTTGTTTGTTGGTATTGTAATGGAAATTTAATTCTCTTTTTTAATTTTTAAGAAAAACATTGTGAGGTTGTGACCACAATTATTCAACTAAATAAGAAGTGATTAACTTCTCAGTGTCAACTACAGTTCCATAAGGTTCGCGTTAAAAAGAAATTTTTATATTAGCAATCGAAAGTTGAAGCTATGAAGAATATTCTGTTAAATTTTCAACTAAATCTATAATTATATTAATTGTACCACCGACAACGGAAGACAATCCTCCTGGAGACTATCAGAAGAGAAATTCTTCCTGCAGGGCGTGGGCAACGTTATCGCTATCTATCATGCTACAGACACGGAAGGTGTTGCTTGTACATACACTACCAAGTAACACAGAGTAAATATGGTTCGTAAGCATGGCGGTCAATCGCTGCTGCACAGATACAGGTGGGTGGGTGGGGATTTAGTAGCTAAAGGTGAAGCTGCGCGAGGTCCTAGAAGCCAGTTCCCGAAAGAACCATTATTCCCGCGGTGCTAAACCCGTGCGCCGCCATGCAAATGAATGTCGTGTGTCTGTCGAGTGCAAACGGACAGATTGTGTTTGTGTGTGTATGTGGGCTATCGATCATAATCAAAGTGGCGTGCGGTGTAACGACATTGGTCGCGGTGCAGAGTGTTTTTCATTCCGTGATTATGTACAGGGTGACACCAAAAAAGGGTTCAAAGCTTCCAGAAAAACGTCCTGCGTCCTGAAAGGTTAATATTTTCAAAATAAGCCATTTTTTGTTTTGGTTAAAGCTAATGATTTTCTCGCTTTGGGAGCTATTGTACCGTATATAAACGATGGATTACCTTATATCGTTCTTCTTTTGCTGTTTACGGAAGGTTTTTTACAATTTTCGTCATTGTTTTGATACGGTACGGAAAATATTAATTTTTCGACCCCATTACGTTAGGAATTTTTTCATTATTTCGCGAGTACTATCTACCCTAGAAGTTACGAACCCCTTTTTTGTATATGCGAAGCGGGTTGTGCTCAAGTTTCGGATCGTTCGCAATACGAAGGGTTGATCATCGACCTAGTCGAAGATGGTTCAAATGCGAAGTGATAGTATTTGGATGCAAAAAAGATTGATAAAAAAGGAACAGAAAAGAAATTGATCGCTAAATGTTCTCGTGCCTATTTATAAAAGGGAAAGTTGATCGCAGGTATCGAGGCCTTCGGCCTCGCTGTACAGGGCTCTATTATACAAGGTGTCTTAAAAATGTTTCCACTTTCGGAAATGAGGGGTTCCTGAGATGATTTGAAATAACTTTTTCCCTAGCGAGAATTTGTTAACGAGATATTAACGAAAAATCTCGACCAATCAGAGCTCGGCCGACAGACTCGCGCTCTGATTGGTCGAGGTTTTCTGTTAATATCTCGTTAACAAAGCCTCGGATAACATTTGTGCTAAGGAAAAACTTGTTTCAAATCATTTCAGGAACCACTCATTTCCGGGAGTCGAAGCTATTTTGGGACACCCTGTATATGTATACACTCGGGAAAATATCGGTTTAGTCCAGTGCCGGGCAACGGGGAGCTGTTTCATTTCGTATACGCCCGAGGTTCGGCGGTATTATAGAGATGGTCGTTCCGGGAGAGGGGGAATGAAATATACTGTCGTGGTACAGTGTTCAAAAGTGGCAATATACTGTGGCATATAGTGTGTCTTTGTGGTCGGAGATCGAGGGTGAAATTGTTTATCCGTTACCCTTTCACCTGGGGCAAAGAATTTCAATTACAAACCACGGGAACGTTTCGCCTATGAACGAAAAAAAAAGGTAAATATTTACGATAAGGGAGTTCCACCTATGATTTCGATGATTTTTTAATGTTTTGTCAAAGTAATCTTCCTGAGTAGTATTGTGAAGATTTTAGTTGACAGTCCAAGAAAAAGGTATTATTGTTCTCTCAACAACTTTTTAATAAACAACGTTTAATAACTTTAATTTCTGAAGGTCACTTAGGAGAATGACCTTGATAACATATTAAAAAATCATCGAAATTGGAGGTGGGGCTCCCTTATTGTGAATATTTACCGAAGAAGAAAACGAAATGGAAAATTATTCGAACGTCATTCTATCGGAATAAACATTTTCTCCACGTTCCCGACGGTGTTCTGAGTTTTTTTTTTTTTTTTTTTTTTGGGTGCACGCGGGACGTCGAGGACTCTGAAAAGCCGCGCGGCAAGTACGAACCACGTTCGTTGTTCGAACGGTTGAAATTTCGTCGATTAATCGAACATTCGAAAAGTTCTGTCGCGGTTACGACGAATAATGTTAACCAGGTTCCCTGTAACGGTCGAAATGGAAACGGGATCGAATTTTCACGGACAAGTTTCAATTGGAAAGGCTTGTTCGGCAGTCTCCAGAGTAAAGGAAAGGGGGTATATGCACTCATCACTCCTGTGGGACCGACACAGCGCCCCAAAAAGTCCTCGACATCGCGCGATCGGAAAGTTTCTCACCCCGAAACATCGAAGGGCGTCGACGAGCATATACGACACAACGGTTTTGGTCGTTTCTTCCTTCCGTGTTCGACAACGTCGACTTAATTAACCGATCTTTCGTGGACCACGCGGCTACACAGTGGGAGAAGAGGAGAACAAGCGTCGACGGGGGTGAAAACAGCGTTAACAATACCCTATTGCGTTACTTTCAATAAAACGTAAAAACTCCGGGTTTTCCATGGAAAAATAATAATTATTACGTATTAGACGCAAGATTATTAATATCGAAATGATTTCTACGATAGCAGTTAAGGGTGGAAAGTCTTGCAATAATTCGCCTCGAATGCGATCACGCGCTTTTTCACCCCCTTTCCGGTTCATTTTCCTCGACTCTCTCGGATTCGCCTGGCGATACTGATCAGCAGTTTGGGGCTAATTAAGGGTGGACCAGTAACCGCTCTGGGACGTGCAGGGTTTGTAATCTCAATTCCGTGTGTACGGTTACTCCGACTCCATTTTCCGTTCGAGTGTATTTTCGTCGCACAAAAATCTATTAAATTCTTCGTGCATTGAAACGTGTTCATACACGTTGGCGTAACTAGGTAGGGGTAGAAAAATTATGTTTATATCCTTCTATTCTTAGTTTTGGCGTGAAACAAATTTGTAAATAATTGTTGTAAAATGTGTAACTTTATTTTGCGCAACCCACACACGTGGTATAAATTACGTTAGGGAACCTGCCACCCCCCAAAAAAAATTCTGGTTACGCCAATGTTCATACATTATAATATTTCACGTTAGAAGGTCCCAAAGATCTTGAAAATCGTCACAATTCTTCGACAGAATTTCGTCGAGGAACGAATACCCCCGAACAAAGTAATGTAATTCCACGTGAATGTAGGACGTTCATTTTGTTTCACTCTTTCTTCACCAGCGCCAGGGCACATCCAATGATAAATGTCCTTCGGGCAGGAACACTTTTACAAATTTCATCCTGCCCATCCCCCGATCAGCGATGTCCTCGTTTCCACCCTCCTTTAGTCTTTCCTTTAATCTCCGTGCATCTTTTTTCTTTTTTTTTTCCCCCATTCCACCCGGTCTTTTCATCCCGACAATCAGAACAAATTCACTTTGAGGCGAATATCTATCGGCGTGTTCTCGATTACAAACCCTGCGCGCAGTCAATCGCGGCGGGTGAACATCTAAAGGAGATTTTTTCTCTATGCGAGGACGCGTCGCCGAGCGCCACTATGTCCATCCGTGGCCCAGCAGCGACGATAATCTCGGACACGACGCCTGGTACACACGTGGACAGGTAGACTGTCGACCGTAACTACTAGGACACACCTGGTCTGTACGAAGAAATCGTGATGTTTCGTAAAAATGATACAGACTCCTCTCGATTATTGTCCCGGCGCGGACCCGAGTTCGGGACGATAATCGAGAGGAGCCTGTATACAGCACCAGACAGATGAATTCGGATAAAGACAATTTTCGTTTATAAAAATAATTAAGTGATTATAATTTTTATATGACAATTAAATGATATTACCTAAACAATATTTAATTCACACTTTCAGAACATTAATAATGGCTCGTAAAATTTACTGCGTATTCGGTAAGTGTCTTAACATTCACGGCCGACTAGTGTATACTTTATTGCCATCAGTTTCAAAGAACTCGTGATTGCTCCAATCAACGACGGGCTTCTCTCTAAGTTTGTTCACGAGTCGCTGTTCGAATTTGCGACGGTCCACGCAGCGTTTCAATTCAAGACGAAACACACACGGACAAAAACATAGATATACACATTAAGGTTGCCTGCTTGCTCAGCGAACGTGCCTCTAACCAAATTGGATAAATATATTATTTTACCGAACTATTTCTGAACAATTATAAAAGCTAATCGAGAGGTACGATAATCGAGTTCGAAAGTAAACGATCTCAAAAAAGTATTCCATAGTCATATCCCACCCCGAAACAGCACATGACGTCTAGTGATGCCTTGGACCCAAAATAGCCATGAAATGGTCGTCTTCAAGGCGTCATGTGCTATCTGGGATCCTAGTTTTTTTCGGTTATCCCTTTTTCTTTCTAATCCGTTACCAAATCTAATATCTATGGGTGAAATGTTTAAATAAACAAAAGAATAAATAATTTTCCCTTATAGGATTAGTTTCATAGGGGACAGAAGTATCCTGAATTTTGCGGAATTTATAAGAATGGCTGGTCCCAGTCGCGTAACGGGCGAACGTTCGCCGAGCTTGCAGAACGGGGACATTCATTTTGCGTTGGACGATCACGCGGTTACTTGTACGTCTGGTACTTAGTCGGAATCGAGGGGAAATTAACTGAAATCAAGAGTAGGCGGGAGGTCGAATAGTGTCCTCTCATTATGGCCGCCCCTCGGTCCAGGGATCGTTCGACGATCCTTGTACGTGTGTCGTCTCTTGTTCACGCTAAAGATGGGCGTGTAACAGTCGTATACAATGTAATATCTTAATATATATACGTATATGTACAAATATATATATATATATATATATATATGTAGAGAGAGAGAGAATTAGAAATTAGTATTGTGTTTGTATAGAGTTAGATTCGAGGGTGACTTACTGGTGGGTCTTTCGAGCACTCTTTTGCGAACCTGTGCTAGACATACCTCGTGGGGCACCTTTAAACAGAACGATCATTCATTATTGGGACTCGATGGCGACGTTCTTCGTCGTCTAATACGGACACTTAGGGTGCTCGTTTGGGGAACATAACGGCCGGAAGTCGACCAGTTCGCTTATTCGTTGCACTCTCGTAAGTAATTTTAACACGTCCTCTCATCTACTTAGCGAATCGATCGGATTCCGTCGCGATTGCAACTTGAGAAACTGTTACGGACCCAGTTCCGTATTGGAACCCAATTCCTGACAGCACATGACGTCTAATGGCGCCTTAGTCCTAAAATAGCCGTAAAATGGGCGTCTTTAAGGCGTCGTGTGCTATCTGGGAAGTGTTCGGGAACTGGATCCGCAACGGTAATCGATTTCTCTACGAAAATTTTGTACAATTCGATTGTCAACAATTTCCCTTCGAACTTCTCGCGGCCGTGTTCGAATCGATGGAAACGATCGTTAAGCACAACGTTTATTATCGTCATTGTCCGGCAAGTATTTTCACGACGGATAAAAAAATCGGCGGGAAAGTGAACTCCTCGCGCGTAGAAACTGATTCTAACTTCTCGTTACCGTCTTGATCCCAGATAGCACATGACGCCTTGGAGACGGCTTAAAGACGCCTTAGACCTAAAAACAGCCGCGCAATGAACGTCTTTAAGGCGTCGTGGTGCTATCTGGGGATGAATTAAAAGAAAAAAATACGATGAATAAAACGAGAAATAGAGAAGGGTGATCTGAAGCGTCGATGAGACGAGAAAGACACTGTATATGAAGAACCGGTGCGAGAAAGAATAGTGAAACTCGCAACAACGGTGAAACAATTGTGTCCGGACACACTGTCACGGACACACACGAGGCGAGAGTCAGGCGACACCAACACGTACAACACACGAAAACTCGAAGCCGAATTGATCGGGGCGCTGATCAACGCAGTCGTTTCCTCTCTATCCGTCTCTCTCTCAGTTTCGCTGGTCGACCAGCGCCGCCGTGCATGCACAATACGATACATCATTTCGTGCCCCGGAGGCGTTCCGTCGAACTCGTTCGTCCGTGAATCGACGATCTCTTGCCCCCCCCCCCCCCTCCAACCACCACCCGCAAATTGCCCTAAAAAACACTCCGTAGGATCATGAAATTCACGTTCCCGATATGATATACCACGAACCGGTCGAATTACATACCGACGAATGAGTTACAGACGCGTTTTTTGTCGTACAACACCGTGAATTGTAAAGAACTCGAGACTTTTTATTACAAAAAAAAAAAAAAAAAAGTTACACGCGATTTTTCGTTTTTTTTTCCCCCCGTGATGAAGCGATCTTCAAACGTCTCGGGATATTTCTCATTCGAACGACGATAAAATACGATGTTTTTTTTCTTTCTCGAGTGGAGCCATATATTCTCAACGATCCGTGGAGAGAAACCAAGAGGGTCTTCTGTGTTCCGAGGTCAAAGGGGTTGAGCGAGACCGTGGCGGAGGGGGATGTCGAAAATCGTCGATTCGGACCACGAAAGAAGCCACGAACACCGCACATTTAAGCTTCTTCCCATGCCGCGGTAATTATCTAACTACTAGTCAAGCCGCGCACGGTACTTACTGTTCTTCTTGTACAGCAGGATCTCGAACTGATCGTGAATCTGGCCCTCGAGGCATTCCTCGATCCTGGCGATCGTCTCTTTGTCCGTCAACTCCCCGTACATGAATCCGCAGCGGCAGGACTTTTGCATAACCTGACGAGACCACGAACAGAACAGAATTGTCAGAACGTTCATCTCCATCTATCTCACTCTATATTTTTCTCTTTCTCCGAGTGTTTGGACGCGCGCGTGGTTTGTCTCGATAACTGCTCAGCTGCATATTCGCGAACAGAACCGTAAGATTTTCAAAAAAAAAATTCTTTTTCAATTGCTTCGCGGCACAAAAGGCTTGTCTCGGTAACTGCTCGCTGCATATTTGAAAATAGGACACGATTTTCCAAAGGGATTACTTTTCAATTGTTTCACAACGCCCGTAATCGGCTCGCGGGCCGCCTCTCGATGCGGAAACGACGTTACGGTGAATCTGACGTAACGGGCCGATTTAATTACAACGATAAGAGATAATGGTAAACGTGGTAATTGCTCGGAACGAGCGTAGCTATTGCGGTATTCGATGGAACCCTCCGTGTTTTTCCGCGAAATTAGATTGGAAAATCGGCGCTACGGCTACAGAATCGATTCTTGTATAATCGTGCTTGGAAAATACGTGATTTTTTTCCCGTCGATAAAGTGAGAACATTAGCTTGAAAAAATAGTTATTTCAAAGATTTTTAGTTTTTTTTTAAATTTACCTACGCTCGATTATTTTCTTTCGACGTTCCTTAAATTTCACGGTACATACGTTAAGAGAACTCGAAACGGAGAACGTGTGTTCGCGGTAATATCGTGCGCGGAACGAAAGAAAGGACGAGAATTAAAAGCTAAATCGGAGGGAATGGGGCATGGCTAGGTAACGATCGCGGGGAACAGGGGATTACCTCGGCACGATTATAGCCAGAGATTTTGCAAAAGCTTTCGTTGCAATAGACAATAGGGAAGTCGACGATCTGAGCGTTCGCCAGGAGAAAACTGCTGTCAGCTGCGAACAGAAAAGGAACACAGAATCCTATTAGTCGGAATTGTCCTATCGGTTTGCACAGACCGTAGTCCGCGACGACAACGAATATCGTTGCGTTATATTAACCCTTTCATTCACAAAGTAACATTCTTGTATATATCTCTGTGTACACGATGCGATATATAAATGATTCACAAGAATATTTTTTTTTGTTAATATTCTAACAACATCTTATTTGACCGATAGTCTTGTAAACGTATACCAAAATTTATGTTACGCCATTTATACAAGACTAGAAAAAACTATTACGTATTCAGAGATATGAAAAGTTACACGATTGCATTTCGTGATCAACGAAACGTAGCCACATGGCTGCAATGGGAACAAAAGGGTTGAAACACCACTTATACCAATTCGATTCGCCATTTTGTCAGCGGACGCGACGCGCGAACATATCGAGACGACCCCACGCGACGGTTCTCGAGTTCCGTGAGAACCAGAGGCAAGGCTAATCCCATCTCCGTAATTAAATAATAATTTGTTCGCTCCGTGGCCCGGTTTTTCCCTCCCATTTTTCCACGCCTCGAGGAAGCTCTCCCACGGTGGCACCACTCGAGAAGGCGGTTCTCCTCATCCACTTGCCTACTGGCGCACCACCTACCGTATTAACGAGCTTCATTCCTTTATCCGAGGGTTTGTGTGTTGGGGGAGGAAGAGAGGGAGAGGAACCGTTGGAAAATCGTCGTCGAAACTTCTTCCGAGGGCCCTAGGAGAACCCGAGGTTCTCTCTCGATTAGTTTCGATTTGTCGTCCTCGTTTCTCGTTTTCGAAACGACGACGATCTTCGAGCAGTTCACAAAAGAACGACAGAGACGGTTGTTATTCCCGTTGGTCTTTGTTATCCGCTTCCCGACGATTTATCTGTTCGTTTCGAAGTGTCCTGTAAACACCACTGTTGTTTCTTAATGAAATCAATCTAGGAAACTTCGAAACGACGATCCAATGTTTCGTGGAAATTCTGTTCGATTGTCGCGAATGTGAAAAATAAATTTGTCGAATAAACTTTTTTTGTCCGACATTATTTCGAATTCACAATGATAACTCTGTCAAAAAAGAAATTTTGTTTATAAAAAAATTATTATTAATTTTGTATTCTTTTAATAAATATGAACGTTAAATGCTTGCTTACCAAGTTTGGTTTTGAAATTCCCATTTTTACAGTCAAAGTAAGCTTCTGAACTCCTAAATCGGCTTTCTGTACTACTGTGGATCGGCGAGAATCTCAGTGGTATCAGAACGGGATCGATTTGGGTGACTTCGTCGACGGATAGTACGTTTCAGACGATAAAACTCCGTGTTTATAACCTTCGTCACTTTTACAGCGGAATCGAGTGAATTTTCTTTGAGAATATTGAAAATTTCAGCCGAGTGGTATCGGTTCGGAGTTTGAATCGCTTCTATCGCAATACGAACGATACACAACTATTGCCGTTTTCCTAGCGAACCATCGTTTATCGATAACGGTACACGAGTAGAGCATTCGGAACACTAATATAGAATAGATTTTCGACGTTCAATTCTTTGAGCGTCATCCTGACCTTTAAACAGATAATAAACTTAAGTAAGTGTCTATGCATTTAAGAAGAATTAAAAAAAATGGCCAAGTACCCTTTTTTTATCTTTTATTTGTTATTCAAAACTGTTTATCTAGGTAATGAATTTGCCCATATTTCCACAAGACACAAGAAATTATCGTGGGAAATGTCAAGAAATATCGAACAATACGATTCAGAATATCTATATACCATAGATCGATAATAAACTTTGGAAATCTGTAGATCCGTATGATATATAAGATCCGTAAGAAATTATTATTTGATTTGCCTGAAGACGATGCATCCAATTTAACATTAATAATTTCCAAAACAATATTACATCCCTTTTCATCCCCTCCATATCTCAGCGCCTTCTGGACAGAAATCCTCCGATCTATCGAACGATCTCACTCAAAGGTGAGTTCAGAAAGATCACAATCGTCCCGTTTTCAAGCGACTGACTGATCGTAAACTCGAAACTGGGATCCGAAACAAGATAAGCAAGCATAAGATAAAACGACCCTTTTCAGTTTTCTACTCGAGTTTTACATTCGTTCTTCGTGCTTGTCGGAACGATAACGATAATCGTGATTATGCGCGAGTTAGCTCGATCTCTTGCTCTCTCTCTATTCCTCTTTCTGTGCACGCCACCGAAGCAGTCAGCGATTCGCCACGTTTACACGCGGCTTTCGTGTCGAACGCACACGCCTGTCCATGTGGTCTCTCGTCCCTTTCTAAACGGGTCAAGGCCACGCACCTCGACCTTGTACCCTCGCAAGCAGGCTCGGTTTCCGTTAGGGGAAAAAGTGATGTAAGGGAAAGACCTCCTACCACAGTGATGGCTAACCTTTTAATTTCAGTGTGTCATAATTTGATAAAAATTTAGCTTAAACAGGATATCGTGCCACATATAGAAATATCCTTAATTTTTGGGATATTTTCAACCCTAATAAATAAATTTCTTAACACTAGAACTACCGCTTGTCAATAGACTCTTTTGCACCTAGTTTCAGGTTACTCCGTCATTTATTCATATTTTTCATTGGAGAAATTACTATAATCACTTTAAAATGTACACTTTCGAAAACAATGACGTATGTTTAAATAAGTCTTCAAGTGTTTTAAAAATAAATTCCGAAAGAACATGCCTTTTTTCGAGCTCGTAGGTCGGCATAACCCCTTAAAATACGTTGACGCTAACATACGTAACAGATTCTCAGCTCAGACAGTGGATAATGGCTCCGCTTAGTGGGGGCTATTTCTATCTCCCTAAAAACGGAGGGACTGTCGGGGCTCTGTATGAGATGCGTCGAGTGAGGGGGATGATGGAAAAGAAGACGGGAAGCAGAGGTTGCAACAGGGAGAGGCACTTTTGATCAAGTGTCCTCTCGAAGCGTCGTCGTGGCTCCTCGTCTCGATGGTGGCCCCCCCTCGAACAACGGCCAAGCTTCGCGAATGTGCATAGTCGGTTACATTCGCGGGCGGGCCTATGCAACAGGAGCCTCGCTAAAGCCTCGAGGATCCTCGAGGAGTCTGCCAGCTGGGGCACTGTTGGACGAAATCTGTCAATTAGACGAACACTGGTAAGATGTACGATCGTCGGGGGAACTGGACTCGTCTTGGATCCATTGGGAACTTCGATCGATCGTTCACTATCGACTGGGTAAATCAGAATTTCGATACGCCAACTAGCGACAGCAAATGAAACTATTGAGAATATTCATACGATCAACAATGTTTGAATAGACAGATTGAGAGAAACCAGGGTTTTTTATAATTGTTGTGCTATTTAGTTCTGTCAAATTAATCGGTATAATGACAGTCGTAATTATTTAAACAGTCACAAAAATTTACACCATGGAATTTTCTTTTGGACGATGTAAAAGTGAGATGTATTAAGTAAATGAATTATATGTTAGTAACAAGCCTTTCAAGCAGAGATCATCTTCAAGTTTTCGCAACGTCAGCAGTGGAAGCATCCCCTATAAGGATAATGAACCAGAGAGTAGTTTCTTGGAACTGGATATAATCCTATCAAGCGTTACACCGGTTACATCTCGCTTCCGGATGATCGCTGCGTGGCCTGCCAATTCAATAAGAAGGATGTCGAGGTAATTGAACATTAATATTCCGGGAGTTCGAGACGACTGCCAAATTGGGCTGGGAGAATGAGCCTGGCAAGCTGACGATAAAAACGGAAGAAGGATCGCGACCGGGGGAGGGTCGCAAACGTCATCATCCAGGTTTCTTTATACACGTCCAAGGAAGATTAAAGGGGATCCTCCTGGCCTGTATCCGATTCCAGGTCACGTTACGCTCTCGAAATAATCGCCAATTAAAAATTCCGTCTTTGGAGCACCGGGTGCACGGGTGGCTGGCCGGAGGAGCCCGGTCTCGCGAGCTTTTTAATGCGTTTATCGGGAGGGGTGGGGGGCGGATGAAGGCGAATCCGATTCACTGGGAGCCGAGTGGCTCTTCAATATGGATGAGATTAACGGGGGCTGATGTAAGAGAACATTCGAAGCTCAGGCCGGCGATAAACAGGCTCCTCTGCGCGGAGATCACAACTTTTTAAGAGGCTCTCGAAGCGTTTAGCGAGGCCGGCCTGCTCTTGTTTCGCGACTCTTCAACAGAATTTCTCACCTCCGTATCAGAGTGAAACACCAACCACGCGACACCGTCGAAGAAACGTTTATTTTACTCGAAAATTCGATTCGAGATACACAGCGCGCAGTTATCGAGGGAAATTCGATATGGATGGGAACGGCTGGCCTGATAGAGGAAACTCGACATGAAATCCGTTTTATCGTATACAAGCTGTGCTACGTCAATCGTAGACAGGACGCATGATTCTACCTCGAAAGATTGCTCGCCATTTCAATAACAGCGCCAAGATGATCTAACGGCGGGAAGTCCACGGAAACGCTCGCTCGCGATATTTCTCATGGTCGTCGGTGCCCCCTTTCGAAACTATCCCGTAACGATTTTACACAGATCCGGTTACCAACAAAGTTTCGACGAGTTTCCATAAGGGGAGGGGGAATCTTTTCTGTTTGGAAAAGCTGATCGAGACCGGAGCATCGGAAACTGATTGTACCGGAAAGTTAACGGATCGGATGACGTGTCGTGGGTGTTATACGACCGACACAATTTTCTTGAACTGGAAACTGGTTACGTAACAAATCCTCCCGAAGCTGTCCAAAATACCGCGACCTTGAACGAATGCATACAGGGAGAAATTTTTCATCTACAATCGGAAGATAGTTTATGAGAGGAACACGCTACGAATGGTAGGCTAATGGGATTCCTGTTTTCTGTGCCCTTGCTGGTTATTACCGCACTTATTCTAATTTCTGCATAATTCTTACGGCTCGCTGTATACTACCGGTCGAAAATGTGGGACCAAGTCTGATAATTCAAGGCAGA